GCGTCCTTCATTTTACTTTTGCTCCCTGGTCTATACATCTCCAACATATTATTACAATTATTATTATTATTATTATTATTATTATTAGCATAAGAAAGTATGCCTTTGCATTGCATTGCTGAAAGAAAAACCGCATAGGAAGGAAGTTATAAACTAACAATAGAGCACAAACGCGCCTTTACAAAACAATCACAGCTGATTGAGAACGAAATATTTGAAAAGGCTATATTAGCAAGCATGACTAAGAAGCCTTTATTGTCACTGCTAAAAAGGAAAACCGCACAGGAAGGAAGTTCAAAACTAACAATGCGACACAAACTCGCACCAAAAACAACCTCCCAGCAAATTAAAAACAAAATAAGTGTACAAAGATAAGCAAACGTGACAACGTAGCTCTTTACTACATTCGACAGAATTTATAAACTAGGAATTATATGGCCGTAGCGGTATTAGATAGAGACCTTAAGATGCGAGGACAGCAAAAACGTCGCAGTGAATTCGCAGATTTTCAATCTTAATCGCGATTGTTCCAACTTGTTTACTTTGTCAAACGTATGCGAACTCTGTTGGAGTTAAACTCCTAAGACTTATCCAAGTTCAAAGTATCAAGAAAATTTCGTTGTTGCTTGTTTACGTCCACTATTACGAAATTAGGCATTTTCATTTCGTAGTCGTGCAAAAACGGCAAAGAAATGTACAAAAAGGTGTGATGCCCGCTTTTCTGACGTTCTCGTTAGTCGTCGGATCTTAAGGTGACTCGACCTTGTTTTTTGGGGGGGTACCATCCTACTTTGAAGCTCTCTGGTGTTCCCGCCTTTACTTTTATCGTAAGTCTAATACATAGAATGGATAACATATAGATCAATCTACAATACAACATAAAAATTTTGGCGATCGGAGTAAATGTCACGTGGTTATAATGCCACGCCCCTTTGAGGTCTGAGTCGAAAATCTGCTGTTGCCGGCATTTTTTCGTGAAAATCTTGATTTTTTGCAAAGGCACAAGAAGCACGAGAGTTGATTAAAAATTGTGAGTTAAACCTCTATGTGTCACGCGATGGCCTGTCTCACTGTACCAAACTTTGCTGAAAATGGTAAATGTCGGCGAATTTCCATGGAGTTGATTGTTGGCTTCACACTAGAACATGCAACAGCCATGCTTTTAAGTATAGAATGCCAAAAGTTTCTAAGGACGTCTTCAAGTTTTCCTTTTTTCCTAGATCAATAACAGAGTGGAACCCACTGCCGGCTGACTTAGTAAATTGCAAGTCATTATCTGATTTTAAGTTAAATTTAGGAAAGCACGTGAAATAGGTGAAGTAAATTATAATTTTGAATTATCATCTATTTATTTTGTTATTTGACGCATTTACTTTTATTCAACTTATACATATGTACATATATGTATAATATAAATATATATATATGTTTTATTTTAGCTTTTATTACAGTTGAAGTGATGTCTTACAAGATTTTATCAACTTAATAAATGTAGATGTAGATGTAGATGTAGAAACTTCGTTAGTTTGAAGTAATCATTTGATTCAATTGCACTTGAAAATCTTAAGTGGCCCTGTAGAAAATATGGTTTGAAACTTGTTGACAAAGTATAAATATTACTTGAACTACAAGCTGTCAATCATCTTTCGAGCTAAAACTATTTATGCATATCACAATCGTGATTGCTCGTCACAAAAGCTAAAACCTTGAGGCCTCTGCGCTGGAAAAGAGCTGAAAAGAGTGTTTTGTAGTTTCGTATTTATTATTCGCGACTTTAACTCAAAGGGTTTTAACCCTGAAAGAGATGCTTACGTAGTTTGTTTTCTACGCGTACTTAGCAGCGGCACAAAAAATAACAGCAACAAACGACATCTTCTGTATTCTCTAGAATGGCTCAACAACGCGCTTTTCGTCAAAGAAATCGCTGTAGAGCTTGTACTTGGCCTCTTTAGCAATGCTTTTAGCTAACCAAGACATGGATGTTTATCTGTCCGTTCATTTGGAACCTTGGAACCGCTGCACCATCGTCTATACGGCTTTTAGACGGCTTCCATTTCCTATCAGTCAAGTGTGTTCTCAAGTGTGGTGTAGACCATACTTGGCGGTTTCTTTGAACTACGAATGTTTCCGTGAGCACCATGTAAAGCTGAAGTAGATACATTTCAGCCCTTCACACTCAAGGTAGGTTCCAAGTTCACTTACATTGTTCTTAAAAGCTCTAGTGTAAAGCCAAGTAATATCTTGGGGACTGCACACAAGAGAAAAAAGAGAAAAAAAAAATGTCGTCGCTTGTTTACGTCTTCTATAAAACTTGAAATTAGGCATTTTCACGTCGTAGTCACGCGTGCAGTGACGACAAAGAAAAGTACAAAACAGCGTGATGCACACACGAAGTGGTTTTTTTACTTTTGATAATCTAAAGCCTGCTATTGCTTTTTTGACCCCTTCTCAATGCCTTCGCCGTCGTTGTTGCTAAAGCTCCCTTGTGCCTCACAAGGGAGGGGCACAGTCCACGCTCGCTTAGTTTTACAGCGGTTCGCTTTAGGTTACTATCTTTTTGTTGTAGTCAAGCATGGCACTGCCACTACTAATTCATAATAAAGTACTCTCGTTTAGATTATCCGTCTTCGTTGGCACAAATCCTCTAAGATGAGACTCTATCTTTTATTTCAGTTTCTTGGTTTGGTACCGCGATTTTTCCCTGAAACAACAAAAATAAGTTAAAGGTAGTAAATTGGGTAGAATGGGATCCTTGAACAAACGCGATTGGCTTCTAATAAGCTACTTTCAATAAATTCATGTTATAATTAAGTTGTGGATGATTGTCTTTTAAAGGAATAAGTTCAAAAACAAATTGAAACAAAGTTTATGGAAAAAGGGCTCGTCTTCCCTTATTCTTACCGTTGGTGTCTTACGGCGAAACTGATGAACTGCTTTTTGCAGGCTTTGCAATGTTTTAGTGACCTATATCAGCTTCCTTTGTATCTCATCTTCCTCCTCGGGGGTGTCCTGTTCTAAGGGAGTGGTGTCCTTATCGGATTCCTTCCTTAGTGTGTTTTGTTTACCAGAAAAATAGCGATGAATCAAATTTTTGATAACGACCCGTCCCTAAACAGAAAAAAAAAAACAAAAAAGACGTGGTTAATGAAACTGTAATTGACTTAGAGTTCAAATTTCGTCTGAATGTCATGATGACTGAGTTTCAAAGTTCCAATTGCAGGACCTTCCACATGTATGCCACAAACTCTATGCGTCGTACATATAGGACAGCACGGAGCAGTCATGTCCGATAATGTCGCACTGTTACGGACCCTTAAGAGCAGTTGACGGATCGTACGCTGCGTACAAACTGTCAGCGTTGCTAACGGTCCGTATTCTGAGCACATACGGAGCGTGCATCTCATTATGACATCAGAGTACAGTGTGTTACGGTTCGTACGGTCAGTTTTAAGCTCGCCACTTACTAACGCTTCCCCTTCCATGCCTGCCTCCAATTCTTCCCTTCTCATTCTTTATTAATAATTGTTTGCTGAATAATAATGGTTATTAATGCCCTTATGTGAGAAAAACTTCTGAAATTTGACATTGCTCCTCCTCGACTGAGAACACTGCACTGTCTGGCTAAATTATTAAATGACCACCTACCGATTTATGAAATCACTCATTTTTTCAAATGAATCGGCCGATCAAAATTTGCAGTGTCAATGTATTGAGCATAAAAGTACTATTTGACGACTCTATTTTTACGTTTCCATACTGGAGACAGGACTGCCAATTTACGTGATCATCCGGCCGTGCCACGCAAAGGACCAGCCGTTTGCAAAGCAAAGGCAGAACATTTATTTCGCAGTGTCTTGTGGACCCGCGATACACTCGCTCTGCAGTCAAGGGCTCCACCGACTGAGCTAGTCCAGCTGCGTTGTTTTAGAATTAGCACTTCTAAAAGGGAATTTTCGACAAGAACCCCAAAATTTTATATGAGAGCCTGCTTTCTTCCCTCTTGGTCGAAGCAAAGGTACATTTTCTCGGAGTCTGGCCCGTTTATTGAGATTGATTTACTTTGGTTATCACTATTCTTTCTTATACGATGAGAATAAAGGTTCGTTCTAATTTTCCAAAAATTGATATACTTACCCTTTCCTGATTAGTGTTAACTGTACCTGACGTAATTTCTTCAGTTTTGATACAAACAAGACACTAAAACAGGAATACAATAGATTTAAGGAAAATACGATGAAAACAGTGCCTGGAGTAGACAAACAACGACGACAAAAACAACAACAACAAACGAAAGAAAACGAGCGCTTTTATTTCAGGCCAAGCATGCAACCTATCGATAGTTTTCAGGCGTAAAGCTTGAGGAACTATATATTTGCACGAGAATAGACACCAAAGAAACATGCACATTTACGTCTCCTAACACGTTGTTTCTCCATAATTTAAATCCTAGATCGATTATCGTAAGAAGTACAGGGCGTTACAAAGTTTGTTCGTCTACTTTAAAAGTCTGTAATGCAGTACGATTGGACTTTATCAGCATATAATTTAAACAAAAGTTGTGACTTTCAATCTAATTTAATATTTCATACTTCTTGTGTCATCTTTTGACTCAAATTCGATTTGTGTAATTTCGGGCTAAAAGGTGCGCTGCACGAGTAAATTTTCCCGCCATATATTTTTCCTATTTTGTAGCCCGAAATGCTCGAACTCCTTACTTGTTTTTTTGTGAATATCCTAAAAGATTAACCTCTCAACGAAAAAACACTCAGCTACGTACGAGCAGAAGCATGTATTTCTATCTACTGGCTTATCAGTTAACGAAATTCCTAAAAAAATGGAGAAATCCGAAAGTTAGGAGGTAAGATGGTCATAGAGAAATGAAGGTTTTACAGACAAGAAACGATGGGGGAAGACCGAAAGTCCTGAATAAAACCACTAAAATAGTTTTAAAGAAGGCTAAGTACAAAAGAGGAAACCCGACGAGGTAGCTCTTACAACAGTTAGCAAGTTAAGTCTGGAGCAGGTTCATGAAAAGCAAAGTTTGGAGACCCCTGAGATAGCAAAAAAAAATTTTACTCCCTGCCAAGGCCGTCCGCCAAGCAACGTTCAACTCGTCTCAAATTTGTAAAGAAGAGCAAAAGCCTTACTGTGGAAAGGGGCCGGAATGATCATCTTTTCTTGGATCAATGCCCAAAATATATTGTTTCAGCTGCCTAATCTAAAAAATTATATTGTTTGGGGGTCGAAGTGACTCCCGCATACTAGGTGATAAAAAAGCTCAAAACGAGTCATCTAGGGCTCTACACGCTACATGGCTTATCTCACTTAATGCCGCAACGGTTATAGGGCGTGTTAAAAAAAAAACAACAAAACAAAACAAAGGGGGAATGCCAGTAACTGAACTTCTCAACACAAGTACTCGATAGAGTAATAATTATATTTGAGAAATTTCATGTAAAAATAAAAGTTTTGATCAAAAGTTATTGCGCATGAAATTAGGGGAACGAACTTTTGGAACACCCCGTATTTAGTAGATTTAAAATCTTGTGATCTTGGTTCGAGTCCATATTTGCTTTTAGTTTTCACCAAAAAATTAATTCTTTTTTAATTTTTAAGCATTGAAATCATTATTTCATGTAGATGCAGTGAGGCTTTGCTACTTACTTACTTACTTACTTACTTTTTTAACCCAATTGTATCTTCTAGCAAGCCAACGGACTGCGGAGGCAATTTTTTCTACTGGTATCAGGTTAAATGGCGGTGGGAGAGGACTGACTTTACTGATGTAATACATCCAGATACGCGTCCTCGCAAACTTGAATTTAGTGCCCTTCTCTTTCTAAAAGAAGGCAAATATAGAGGTATGAAATACTTTTACCATCAAGGTAATTTTAAGGCAAAGTTCTTCAGATCTAGATGTCGTATCGATCTCCAGCGAGTGTTGTATAAGAAAACTGCACTGTGTAATATAAACATGCTGGGATTTGGAAGCGACTGAATTAAATCTCTTCAGACGTAATATACCTGATATCATTTATCACACAGTATTAAGCTCAGTTTATTTCAGAATACTTCAGAACGCAAATCACTTTTAAAATGAGAAGGCGTTCAGTTTTGGCGTGGGCTGAAGTCCGGCCAAAGTTTTAACCCTCTGACATATACAAGCCCACTGAGAATTTTGAATTCTTAATCTCATTCCCAACCCCTTGTAAATTTTGTGTAAATACTCTCGTCATAATCTCTAACGGTCACTTTAGATCACTTTTTAAAATGTATGTTGACTAGCATACGATACGTCACGCCACTCCGATGGCCATAAAACAAAAGTCCTTATGATAGGTTTTCTTATCCTTTCGTAAGCTAATCACTTTTCTTTATTATTGTTATTTTCACGGTTGCAATATTTACCTATGCTATGTATGTACGTGTCAGTGTGATATTACATGCAAACTTCTCCTTTTATGGGTGGAAAGCAATAGCCCCATACACACTCTATTCCATGGGTAATTCGTGTCTAGTTATTTTTAAGACCATAGATCTCAAGGGGGGATTAGACAACAGCCAATCACAACAGCCAATCACGTTGTTCTAGCCAATCACATAGCGCGAATGTGTTCCGCGTGGATGACCCGCGCTCAGAGCCACGCGTCCTTCGCGAATTGACGCAGAAAAAAATGGCGGAAGACGCGGAGAGCGATATTGCTATTTGTTTTGTCGAAGAAAACGACTAAAGAGAGATTTCTTCTAAAGCTGTGTCAGCGAAACGGAAATTAAAAAAGAATCGCTCTTCCTCTCTTGTATAGAGCTAACAGTACAGCAGGGAAATCCTTAACACACTGAATATTGTCTCGGGATCATTTATAATTTACAGTTTGAAGAGAACAATTTCTGGTTTGATATTTATTCTTTTATTAGTCTTTTATTATTTAACGAAAATAACATTTGGCGTCCTACTTGCTTTATTATACAAACGACCGGTTTCAATAGACCGGCGAAATTTCTCATTTTATTAAAGCACTGAGGTTACGACAACTTCGAGTTAAACTGATTTCACGGGTTGTCAAAGAGTGCAGCGATTCCCTTTTCCCAGATGAGCGCCGACTCATTTCGCTTCAATATTCAGAAATGCTCTCGATCTCTTTACGCTGTCATTGCCTTTCGCCCGACATGTTTTGCACGGTGTTTAGTCGTGCGAAACCTCCGCGAAACATCCACGCAGCGCGCGAGGTAACTTTATCCCGATACTAAAAATAACTCTAGACGAATTACCTATGGGATAGGGTGTGTATGGGGGATGCCTTCTCTGTCCCCTTTATCCTCTTTTGGTAGAAAGGGATGTTGGCGCAGTATCAATTATACTGTTCTCGTGTGACCCAGCCGTTGTCACGTTAGTTTGTATGCGTTTTACAATTGTATTATAAACCGATTTGTGTAGACACAACATTGCACTTACATCAACCTTCTTGTATGAGTTATTGAGCATAGCGATCAGTAGGTTTAGTACAACCAGTATGGAAGCGAGGCTGTATACTGCGAACAAAATCTGTCCTGTAACCATGGTAATCTCTGAGTTCTCGTCCGTTTTAAAAGCAGAAAATTCGACATGTCTGAACAATGCCCAAAACAATGTGTCCACGGTTCCCTCGATTCTGTTAAAAGAACACGTACAAACTGTCTGTTAGTTCACATGACAGTGGAACCGCGATTTAACGATCCTCGATATAACGATGTTCCAGGTTAATAACGTTTGTTCCCGCAAGAGTTACAGTAAAATGCATGAAACAGAACCCCGATACAACGATATTCCCGATTTAATTAGAATTCAGCGGAACGAACGCAAAACCTTCCCGATATAACGATATTATCAGTACACAGGAACAATTTAAGCAAAACTAAAATACAGTAACATTACATCAATCGAGTAATCTCTAAAGTTTTTGTCAACAGCTTTGTACAATGATATACGAAAATGATACTGTGTTCTAAGCCTCTTTATCTTCTCTACCCTCCTTGCCATTCAATAGTTCTCTTAGTTTCGGTATCTTTGACTCTTTCCTGTGATGAAACGTAAACATTGCAGGGATTTCAACGCCGATGCGTTTGTTCTCGGCGATACCATTCAAGCACAATCAATAATCAATAACATCAATAATAGTCAATAAAAATCAATAACAGTTAATTGATTAATATTGAAAATCAATAAAAATGAAAGCATCTTTTTTTATTTATCTTATGATAAGTGGCCATCAGTGTAAAGTTTAAGGAGAAACGTTATTCGGCAGAAGTAATCGAGACAAACAGTGTTAATTAACATACCAAAAAAGGAAAGGCAGGAGCGTGGGAAAGGTTATATTGCCATTATTTTGGAATTAGATGTACATTGTCTCTGTTTCCTACCTTTCAAAAGGGTGGGATGTGATAGTGTCGTTCCTGCTCTTGGCAACTTGTGCCGAAGTCTGCACGTACTGAGAGTACAGTTTCCACATGGCAAGAACAAACGCGCAAAAATTCAGGGCAAAGAGCGCGAAAAATCTGACAATATCCTTGGTCATCATCATAAGGGACAGGTGCAGCGGCCCCAAAGTAGAGTCAACTTGGAGAAGATGCGAGGCTTCAAAGAATGTTAGAAGCACTGCAAATGCGTAGAAACTGCTTGATAGCAGCAAGAGATGATACGGGCCCATTGAAGAGGCATCCTCTAGCTTGCTAAGAGACACAGTCCAATCACCAGAATTTCTTGCTAAAGAGGTGTAGCCCACGATCCATAATACAGCGGCAAGAACGTAGCTAAGAATCATGGGTATGACCGCAAGGTGCAACCACCCACCGAGATATCGTTACATGCCTTGAAACATGGCTTGCTTTATTTCTTGGACGATTATACCAACCACCCAGATACCAATAATAACAGCTATAAAAATAGATAAATAATAAATCAAGTAAATGAATAAATATTCCTGCTTGACTTATTAAGCATAATTTAAACGAACGTAACTCTATCACGAACTGTTCCAAGCTAATCTGGACTCATCCACGCTCGTGGGTTCAAATAAAATCAATAGTGATTGCCAAACTGAGATGGCCTAAATTAGACCCTAATGATGTTCTGTAGTTTTTTTAAACAGAAACGACCCCATTTCAGAGCTAACGCAAAGGAAGTTAGAGAACGTATTTGTTTTGGAATATGGAACATTTAGTGATAATTCGAGGTTAGTTCTATTATGTCTCGTTTAGTTCTCTTAATTCATTCCGCAAATGAGGGGTTAAGCAAGTACTAAAACTTGTTTACCTTTTCAATTATTGCATTTTGTAGAGGAGGTGGATTGCAAACCCTTTGAAAACACTAAGCTATTATTCATCAAGCCTGCGTAGCATGCCGGTTTTGTCAGGAGCACTACTGAGCGGCGAAGCCGCAAAAACGCGCGCGAACGAGCGGCGAAGCTCCTATCTTCAAACCAAGTTTGGTTTCCGCCTTTATAGATCGGCATTCTTCACTGAGATGACGCCATGTGATTAACTGTCAACAGGAGAGAAGAGTATAAGAATTTGAGGATATTTGGCTCTATGAAGTTGTACGAAGTCGTCAGTGTTCCGGCGCACGATTCCTTAGCGCGTATAGGAAAAAGCTCTCTGTTGAGAAATCTCGAGAGTCGTTGGTTCCTTGGTTGACGAATTTTTCGTTTCTCCAACGAAAAGCTTGCTTAAAGGCTAAGACAGATTTTTAGGGGGTTTTGTCTCAAGGATTAATTGCTGTTTTAGCTCAATTCTCAGGAGTTGACTTCATTACTAGTGCCTTGACCCATACACAAAATGTTTCTTCAGAGTTATGAAGAAATCAGTTCACCGAGGAGCACTAACCATAATATTTTTTGGTGAAATTTTCCAAGTCCATCCTTTTAATCTGTTATAACAGACGACAAGAAACAGTTTCAATGCAAAATATACTAGACTAGTCTTAAGCGGAAAAAAAAAATTGGACCGCTATTTTTGGAGTTCAGTTGGAGCGAAAAAAATAATTAGCTTTTGAAAAACATAGCAAATAGCAGGACAAAGTGGCTTTAATAGAGTTGTATTCGAAACTCACTTAGTGGTGTCAAGCTCAAGAACGAGTCATATTTATCTTGGAAGGCCGACATTGCCAGCAAAAACAAGAAACACAGGACATAAGACGCCTGGCTCATGAGCTTGCACAGGGGAGTCTCCATCTTCTTTCCCAGTCGGTTGGGGGGAGTGAACATGTATCCCAGCATGCAAAGTGGCATGAAAAGTGTATATAACATCATCAGAAGAAATTTCGTTTTGAGGGACAGTTGATTCCATTTTCCAGACCCCTTGTAGGCAATCGTGTTCAACATAATTTGGCTGTAAGGATGAGCTATAAACTAAAAGACATAAACCTATTAGCGTTTTCGCTGTTTCGAATTCTATCCTGTTCCTGTCATTTAAGATACCCATCTTTCAGTAATGGTGAAGCTAGTACTTAAAAATTAATTACCCCTACACTGATGTAGTAGGGTTTTTTTTTTTTCATATTGACGTACACTACTGGAATGCTTAGCTTCCAGAGTTACTGTAACGACTCCTTGAAAGCCGTCACGTTAAAATTAAAAGTTGATGCTCCCAAAACAATCCTTAATTCTTAATCAAAGTAACAATTTTCCTTAAGTAGCGCCTCAAATCGAAGCTCAGAAAAATGCTACTGGACAGAAATGCAGCCTCTGTTTTAAAAGACTTTACAGACAAAGGAAAGTAAACGCTGTGTTGTTTCTTTTCAGAAGATTAAAACCCTTTTTAGGAAAAGCTTGCAAAAAATATTACATATCTCGTTCGGCGGTCAACCCCGTACAGGCCATTTAAAGCTCCGTCCACACGTATCCTGGATATTATTGAATCCGCAAATTTTTCTTTCCAGATACGGTATCCGTCCACACGTATTCGGTGAAACCGGCTTACGAATCCGCAACTTTTTAAATCTGCTCTCCTGAGAGGAAATTTTTGATTACGCTATGAATCTTGAATCGTACGGACGCTAAATTAAATCCGGATATTTTTTGAATCAGGTGACTTAACAAGATCGTGCCCAGTTCTTTACCGTGAATACTGCTCAAGATGGCAACCTCGTTCCCCGGTTCTCTCTCTTATTCGTCGATGCAAATTGTAAGAGGCAAATTTTGCGCGCGTGCGTTACGACGCATGCTCTGTTGCCTGGGTAATAGAGTGAATCTGGATACGTGTCGGATACGTGTGGACGGGCAAATTCGATATATATACGGATACGTGTGGACGTGGAAATTTTTGATTCCGGAAAGAAAAAGTTGCGGTTTCTAAAATATCCGGATTCGTGTTGGCCAGTATGGCACAAAAATAAAAGGCTCAAATGAAAAGAATGTAACATTATTTTCATCTATGACGGACAGAAGCCTTTTCTGGTGCTTTTTCTACCTCGCGGGAGACGTATTTCCGGTCGTCTCTTCTCTCCACACGCAGTTTGAGGGTGGAGAGATGCGACGACCGGAAATACGTTTGCGTTCGCAAGCTAGGTGACTCATGATGGCCGGAAAAAGGATTTTGCTCTCCAAATCTACTTAAACAAAATACTGAGGTCATCGTACAAAACTAAACTTAGTAATAATCATATAATTGTTTATTATATACATACTGAGAAATACTCACATAAAAGCTATGTCATAAATTTTCGTACGCAAATTAGTTGTACCAATCAGAGGATCGAACGATGGTTTTCACTCGTGAAAAAAATGATACGTCCAATCAGAATCGCGAACGATGTTTTTTCACGTGTGAGAAAAATGATACGTCCAATCAGAAGCCACAGAGGTGTGTGAGTTTCGCGCCAAAATTCCCGCCTTTTATTACAGCTTGCAGCGCCGCTTCGCACACATTCAACGAGAAAAGTTTTACTCAAAGAGTTTTTCGCTCTAAAAAAGTGAAAAACATTTCGGAAATGGAGTGGAATAGTTTCGTTTGTTTCAGTGTCGATAAAGAAAACGGTAGAGAGCCGGCGAAACAACAGCGGAAAGGGATAAACAGAACGAGACGTAAGCTTTTGTTGTTCTTTTTGTCGGAGCTACTTTGCCTTTCATTTAAGCTTAAGCTTATGTTGAAACCGGCCATTTTACTTAAATTCACTCATTTTCAAATGTGCATTTAGAACAAACAGTTAATATTACTTATAGTTCTTGGATTACCTGATATCCTCATCGTCATTTATGTTTTTGACAAACGTTTTTACTAAAAAGCTGATACTCCGTTTTCGTTGTCATTTTGCGGTAAGTGTGTAGCGGCAAATTTTAGCATTTTTGAAAGATTTAAAACAAAAAGGCCGCCAAAATGATGAATGTCTCAGTATGTATATAATAAACACAATACCACATGGAAAGTGCTTTGTACGGTATTTACGCACTCGTTGTTTTTGTATCAGAAATCTTACTCGTTCGCTAAATGTACACGTCAATTAAATAAATAAATAAATAAATAAATAATGCACGCGCACATAATAAAACTGTGTGCGGATACGTACCAAGATACAACTGAAATACAAATCTATAAGTAATAAGTAAGTGATGTAAGGATACGATGGTGCAATTCAAGCCTGGATTGCTAATCTCATCTCCCGCAGGGCTGCACAATACTTCTCGACGATAAGATCATGGTGACTGAAGAATTAAAATGATTTCTGAATTAGATTGGTTTCAAAGCCTTGTTGTCTGAGACGTAATAAAAGTCCGCGGAGTCTATTTATGGAGTCAACATTGGACGTGTAAATTCTAGGGTATCTCACCAGTTGTAACCTGAGATCAGGTTCTATTTTCGTTTCGCTTTGGAAATTACATTCCGGCGGGCAAGGCGAAACGAAAAGAGAGCCTGATACAAACCTTCTACGAAACGTCTGCCGCCCACTTTTTTGATTGATTGACATTTGCCGAATCAGCCAACCAAAATTACTTCCGTTGCTTGTTTTTCTAGTATGCAAATTTTTCACTCGTAGGAAAAATGCAGACTGCCCGAGTTAAAAAATAGCTTTTATTTGTCAATTCTTTCAGCTAAAAATAAAACAGTCAGCACAATCACATTTAACTTCTTGCGAAATTAAGGGAGATCTCGAAGGTTTAATATTTCTGTTGACGTAGAAGGTAAAAAGTTTTTGAAAAGACGGCGACACGATGTTCTACTAGTTTTATTATTTTGGCCAGGCGCGCTCGAATTTAAAATACTGAAATTTCTATTTTTCTGTTGCATTAATATTTTTGTCGGCAATTTTCCCCGATTTTCAGTACATAAATCTTTAAAAACAAAAGCAAACAGCCAACGAGCGAGGACACCAGTTTTTCTGGTTTATATTTTTTAAAAAGCGAAGGCAAACAACCAGTCTGTTACCTACAAAAATTCCTTGAACAGTGATGCGATATTTTTTGTCTAATACTTCACAGTTGGCGATTGTGGTTTCTTTTGCAGTGAGCCTCCGCTTGCGTACCCCGTTCAGAGAAGTCATTCCCGGCTAAACTTTCAGATGAAACCAGTTTTTAGATGGACGGTATTTTGATTTGCACTCGTTTGTTGGTAAATCAAAAGGCACCTTGTTAGCGGTCAACAACTTGCAGAGTGATTCAACTCCGCGATACACTCACATTAGTTCCGTAAATAAAGCAAATCCTGAGTAGATATGAACAACCATATGAATTTTCTGAATTTCCATGGCACATATTAAGGCATATTTTCCCACTATAAGACCTTAAAACAATAAAAAAGACAGCAAAATCGATCCTTCTCTCCGCCGACGACGGATCATTCACGAAAACAACAACGCGAGGAATAATCGCTTTCAACTTCCGGCGTTTCAGACAGCCAATCAGATGTTGTGGCATTGTACTAACAGCCAATCAACGTTACGGCCAAAATCTGGCTGTAACGAGCACAAACGTGAGAGAGTTTGTATCAGGCCTAATTTCAGCCGTAGCCGTTAGAGAGAATGTATGAGAACCGCTAAAAATGGGCCTGATCTTAGGTTAACCAGTTGAGATCAGATAAACACCGCAAGCTAGATTGGCTGGTTGTCTAACGCGCGCACGCGCAATTAAGCTACCTTTGCATGAATTCGTAGACAAAAAGACAAAACCAATCAACGCAACGTTTTCATTTTGGACAAATGATTAATTAAGTTATAAGTTCGTTTCCATTCCTGGGACTTCCATTATGTTGGGCGGTATTTGGTTCGCTCAAAAACCGGCCATCTAATTAAACCAAGTCATCCAACTTGGTTGGCTCCGTCTGGACTGGCCTTAACAAAAATGAAGAAATGTCAATTTTTGTACAAAGGGAAATCAAGAGAACATCAAAGCCCCATTTATTAGGTAACAACTTTTTTTCGCTCATAAAACGACTACTCACTGACTACTCGATCGAGAGGAGTCTTTAGTCATTGTTTCTAGTGTTATGTTATGTTATGGAGAGGGGGGAAGCAGAAGAGGGCTGAAAAAAAGGCATACGAAATCTCTTGGGGAACGATAAAAGCGGAAAGAGAAAAAAGGATTTTAGAACTCTGGCAAATTCTGTTTTCCTGTATATTTTGTTAGTTTTGTCCTGCTGTCGTCTATCCCGGATTATTGATAGCCGAATCTCTATACCGCTTTCTCTTTTGTTTGGCCAAATCACAGGGAACAATTAAATGTGTTTACCTGTGTTCCTGAGTCTTTATGAGTCGTTTTGGAAGGGATCTGAATCCGATCAGACTCGGTTAACATTGCTGCGCTGGTATTAATGAATAATATGTAATAGGACTAAATGCTGTCCAATTTGGAAATAATTGGATGAAAAAAAATTCCTTGGACAGCCAAAATTGGATGAGGCCGTTGGCCGAGTTAAATTTGGCTGTCAGAGGAATTTTTTGAATTCAATTATTTCCAAATTGGACAAGCATGTATTCCTCTTACTTATTAATTATATAGCTGGTTAGTTAAGCCAGATTTTTTAGCGTGTCACAGACGCGAAATAATGTACACCTGAACCGGTCCATTAGTAGTTGAAACAAAAACACACCTCAAGATCTAAAATTTTTATAGTGTCATTCAACTTATTCTTTACAAAAAACGAACGTAGAACTAGTATTGCTCTTTCAAACTATGGCATTTTGTTGCCAATTATATTAAAATTTTGAAAGCTCCTTCAATGATCTGAATGATATGGTGCTACAGGTAAAAACCGCAATTTCGAGTACAAAGAAGACAAAGCAACGCGAATACTCTACTCTCTGACGCTCTAGATCTCTGTCGCCCTTTTGCATGTTGAGTTTCGCTGGCCTGCCGCCTACTCTCTCTTTTTCTCTGTCTTTCTCTTGCTCCATATTCCAAATTTGTGGACATGGCAATTAATCTAAGCTTAGTACTTTATACAACACGGATACAAAAACAATTTCCGCTTTCCTTTTTCGCCTTTATTGACTCTTTAGCTGCCTCTGTTTTACAAGAAGCGGGTGGCTATGCGATTTCCCGCCAAAATAACCTCGAGTTGCATTTGGGTTGCCATACCTGTTGGTAGAGTTCATTTACATTGGTAGGCCTGTGGTGCGGACGGACGGTCTCTTGGGCGGTCGGCGTAAGGTCACGTAATTACCAAATTTTCTTGGATGGGTAGATGACCATATTTTCTTACCCATGGTGCTCCGCCACGCGCGCCTTGCGCGAGAGAGCTCCGCTATTAACCGTGCCGAATTACACTTATTGCGTTGGACGTCGCCTATTTCCCTTTCGTAATCGGTCTTTGCCATTTTTAATGGTAACCAAGCCCTTAGTCATGATGGATGTAATACTGTATATTCCCAGGATTAAGTTACAATAAGGAAAATAATACTTTTTTGAATTAATAGTCTGTGAAATAACGACGTTGAAGACCAAATTAAATCTACGTTAAAAGTTATGGAAAGTGCTAGAGTCACCTGTTATTGATGTATCAGTTAAGTAAAACAGTTTGTTAGTCTATTTATTTAAATTTTTCGGAAATTTGGCGGTCGGTGTGGTAGTGTAGCCGAGTGGTAAGGGAGAGAATTAAGGATGTGAAAGGTCCGAACTCGAGGTCCGGGTTCGACCCTGCGTTGCGATTTTCTTTCTTTTTAATAGAAACACTCTCAATGACTGGTCAACAATTTTTTCAGCGTCTTAAAAATGTCAGCGACCGTTTACGAAAAGGACAACTGCTTAGACGTCAGTACCTAACCAAAACTACTTAAAAATTATCAACCGGACTATTACTCCTGTTGGTTTGCAGAACTAGACAAATAATTTGCAGGTGATTGAACACTGCGAATTCACTTTTTGGCGATTTGTATATTGAAAAATAAAGCAGTTACTGGAAATCTCAGTATCATTACTTGTTGTAGACCTGAGTTTTTAGAAAAATTTCAGCTTCGTCGTACAGAAGAGATCTCAGTTCATTGCGAGAACAGGGACAAATGTCGCATTTTTTTTACTGTATGGTAAGAGTTTTTTTTACTTTCAGTTTTTTCTTGTAAATCGTGTCATATCTCAAAAGGACGCTTGAGTCGGTACCGCATCATATCTTTCCCTGGCACCCGCCCATCCATCTGTGCTTCAAAGGGCCGCAGTCCACGCTAGTTCATTTGCACAACCCTTTCTCTTTTTGCTTCAGTCCAGCATTTACTGCCACTACTCTTACATTCAAGTAATTTGTGTTTAGATTATCCGTTCTCGCATATGTCCTCTAAGATGAGGCTCTGTCTTTTATTTCAGTTTCTTGGTTTGGTATCGCGATTTTTCCTTGAAACAACAAAAATAGGTTTACGTTAGTAAATAGGATACAAAGGGACCCTTGGCTTCTAATAAGCTACTTTCAGTAAAGTCATGTATAATTAAATTGCCAAAGTCTTTTAAAGGAATTAGTTCACGATATTTTTTATGAATTTGCCTTTTTCACGAATACCAGCTAACACGAGCTTTAAACTACACATTATTAGGAAAACGCCTTCCATTGACAAAATCATTGTTCACATAGCATTCGTCACTTCACATATAATAAAAAAAAAACATGACTGTAGCCAATAGCGCCTTCTGGTGTTCAAGCGAGCTTACTTCAGATAAGACGGTCTCACAGAAGACGGTAGTTATTTTTGTCCTCTGATCCATGGCTTTCATATTCATGTTCATCTTCAAAAACAAATTGAATCAAAGTTTAAGGAAAAAGAGCTCGTCTTCCCTTATTCTTACCCTTGGTGTCTTACGGCGAAACTGATGAACTGCTTTTTGCAGGCTTTGCAATGTTTTAGTGACCTCCATCAGTTTGGTTTGTACCTCATCTTCCTCCTCGGGGGTATCCTCGTCTGAGGGGGTGGTATTCTTATCGGGCTCCTTCCTTAGTGTATTTTGTTTACCAGAAAAATAGCGATGTATCAAATTTTTGATAACGACACGTCGCTAAACAGAAAACAAAAACAAACAAAGCGTGGTTAATCAAACTGTAAGTCAAACAACTCTTTTACTATTTCGACTAAATATCATGATAACTAAGTTCAAAGTGTTAAGTTCAGGACCTTCAATATGCAGGCCATCTACTCTATGCATGGTATTCAGGTACAGAACCGAGAAATAAATAGCACTCACTGTTACTTCAAAAAATAAAAAATAAAAAATTAAAAAAATGAGGAGAATGTAAAAGACAAAAGAATGAGAAAGCAAAGGATGCAAAATAGTTACCTTGTAACGACTTGTCGAACATGGCTTACGTTTATAGGGAAATTTTTAAAATTGATGTTAATAATTGGCGAGCTTAACTATTTCATTGCTACTAACGCTTCCTCTTCCATGCCTGCCTCCCATGCTTCCGTTCTAATTCTTTATAGATTATTCGCTGAAGAATAATGCCCCTATGTGAAAAAGCTTTTGAAATTTGAAAGCCTTATATAGTTTCGCTCGTCCTCGACTGAGAACACTGCACTGTCTAGCTAAGTTATTAAATGATCACCTACCGATTTATGACACGACTCATTTTTTCAAATGAGAATTTGCCGATCAAAATTTTAAAAAGCGCGCTTTATTGCAGTGTCAATGTATTGAGCACGAAAGTACAATTTGACAACTGTATTTTACGTTTCCATACTGGAGATAGGACTGCCATTTTACGTGGTCATCGTTCGAGCCACGCAAAGGACCAGCCATTTGCAAAGCAAAGGCAAAACATTTATTTCGCAGTATCTTGTGGACCCTGTCAGCTATACTGGCCAGACCCTAAGGGTCGAAACCGCGACACTCTTGCTCTGCTGTCAAGCCCCTCTACTGACTGAGCTAGTCCTGCTGTGTTGTTTTAGACGTAGCACTTCTAAAAGGGAATTTTCAAGGAGAACCTCAGAAATTTTATAGGAGAGCCTGCTTTCTTCCCTCCTGGTCGAAGGTACATTTTCTCTGAGACCGGCGCTTTTATTGAGGTTGATTTACTTTGGTTATCACTATTCTTACTTATATGACGAGAATAAAGGTTCATTCTAATTTTCTAAAAATTGATATACTTACCCTTTTCTGATTAGTTTTAACTGTATCTGATGTAATTTCTTCTGTTTTGATACAACCAAGACACTAAAAAAGGAATACAAAAGACTCTAAGGATAATACCATGAAAACAGTGTTTGAAGTAGCCAAACAACGGCAACAAAAACGACGACAGCAAGCGAAAGAAAACGCGCGTTTTTATTTCAGGCCAAGTATGCAACCTATCCGGATAGTTTCAGGCATAAAGCTTGAGGAACTATTTGTACGAGAATAAAAACCAAAGAAACATGCGCATTTACGTCTCCTAACATGTGTCTCGATAATATAAATTATAGATCGATTATCGTAAGAAATATTTAGTAGATTTAAAAACTTGTGACCTTGGTTCGTGTCCATAGTTGTTTTAGTTTTTACCAAAAAATTAATTCCTTTTTAATTTCTTAACATTTAAATCATTTTTCATGTGCGTGCAGTGAGGCTTTGCTACTTACTTACTTACTTACTTACTTACTTTTTTAACCCAATTGTATCTTCTAGCAAGCCAACGGACTGCGGAGGCAATTTTTTCTACTGGTATCAGGTTAAATGGCGGTGGTAGAGGACTGACTTCACTGATGTAATACATCCAGAGACGCGTCCTCGCAAACTTGAATTTAGTGTCCTTCTCTTTCTGAAAGAAAGCAAATATAGACGTATAAAATACTTATAACATGAAGGTAATTTAAGGCAAAGGTCTTCGGATCTAGATGTCGTGTCGATCTCCAACAAGTGTTGTGTTAGAAAACTGCACTGTGTAATAAAAACAGGGATTTCGAAGCCACTGAAGTAAATCTCCTTAAAGGTAATATACCTGGTATTATTTATCACACAGTAATAAGCTCAGTTCATTTCAGACAACTTCACAACGCAAATCACTTTCAAACTAAGAACGCGTAAAGTTTTGGCGTGGGCTGAACTCCGGCCAAAGTTTTAACTTCTGACGTATAAGACCACTGAGAATTCCTAGACAATGAAACATCAGCCCCAGACTTTTTCAGTTGCAGTTCGTTTTTCCCTCGCGCGCATTTTGAGACAAGTTTAGTGACGACCAGTGTCTATGGTTACGAAATATGACGTCACAAATAGCGGATGGTCAAGTCATTTTTTGATGAAAATCATGTTTTCAACTTCTTTCAACGATAAAAGTAAAGGTTGTGACCGGATAAAATGAAGCAAAGCACTTATTCGTCTGTTATTAATTAGCGGGTCAAGCACAACACCAGGTCAACATCAGCAGTGACAAGCTGATGCTTTGTTAGCTGTTGCCTTATGTAATTATAACTGTTAAGAATTTTGTCTTCTTAATCTCACTCCCAGACCCCTTGTAAATTTTGTGTAAATAGTCTCGTCATAATCTGTAAAGGTCACTTTAGAACACTTTTGAAAATGGTTGTTGACTAGCATACGATACGTCACTTATCAAAATACGAAATTTCACGACGTTTATCACCGCTGCTGGTGTTTCATTTTTGTTTAAACTACGATGGTCGAAAAACAAAAGTCTTCATGATATGTTTTCCTCATCCTTTCGTAAGCTAACCACATTTTTCTTTATTATTAATTATTATTTCCAGGGTTGCAATATTTACTTATGCTATGTACGTACGTGTTACTGTGATATTACATGCAAACTTCTCCTTTTATGGCTGAGAACACGTGGAAAGGGATGTTGGCGCAATATCAATTATACTGTTCTTGTGTGACCCATCCATTGGCACGTTAGTTTGTATGCGTTTACAATTTTATCATAAACCGATTTGTGTAGACACAACATTGCACTTACATCAACCTTCTTGTATGAGTTATTGAGCATAGCGATCAGTAGGTTTAGTACAACCAGTATGGAAGCGAGGCTGTATACTGCGAACAAAATCTGTCCTGTAACCATGGTAATCTTTGAGTTCTCGTCCGTTTCAAAAGCAGAAAATTCGACATGTCCGAACAATGCCCAAAACAATGTCTCCACGGTTCCCTCGATTCTGTTAAAAGAACACGTACAAGCTATCTGTTAGCTCACATATACACTTAGTGGAAACGCAATTTAACGATCCTCGATAAAACGATGTTCTAGTTTAATAACTATGAATATTCTATGTCCCGGCAAAAGTTACAGTAAAATGTATGAAACAGAACCCCGATACCACGATATTCCCGATATAAGTAGAATTTGGCGGTATTATCAGTACACAGTCACAATTTAAGCAAAACTAAAATACAGTAACATTACATCAATCGAGTAATCTTTAACGTTTCTGTCAACAGCTAGGTGCGATGATATACGAAAATGATGCTGTGTTCTAAGCCCCTGTTTATCAACTTTATCCTCCTTGCCATTCATTACATAGTTCTCTTAGTTTCAGTATCTTTGACTCTTTCTTGTGATGAAACGTAAACGTTGCAGGGATTTCAAGGCCGATGCCTTGGTTCACGAAGATACCATTTAATGAAAATCAATAATCAATAACATCAATAATAGTCAATAAAAATCAATCACAATTAATTGGTTGATATTGAAAATCAATAAAAATCAAAACGGCTTTACATTTTTTTGATTTGTCTTCATGATAAGTGGCTATCAGAGTCTAGTTTAAGGGGAAGCATTATTTTGCTATCCTTTTGGAATTAGATGCACATTGTCTCTGTTTCCTACCTTTCAAAAGGGTGGGATGTGTTAGTGGCGTTACTGCTCTTGGCAACTTGTGCTGCAGTCAGCTGCACGTACTGAGAGTACAGTTTCCTCATGGCAAGAGCAAACGCGCAAAAATTCAGGGCAAAAAGCGCGAAAAATCTGACAATATCCTTGGTCATCATCATAAGGGACAGGTGCAGCGGCCCCAAAGTAGAGTCAACTTGGAGAAGATGCGAGGCTTCAAAGAATGTTAGAAGCACTGCAAATGCGTAGAAACTGCTTGATAGCAGCAAGAGATGATACGGGCCCATTGAAGAGGCATCCTCTAGCTTGCTAAGAGACACAGTCCAATCACCAGAATTTCTTGCTAAAGAGGTGTAGCCCACGATCCATAATACAGCGGCAAGAACGTAGCTAATGATCATGGGTATGACGGCAAGGTGCCACCACTCACCGAGATATCGCTCCATGCCTTGATACATGGCTTGCTTTATTTCTTGGACGATTATACCAACCACCCAGATACAAATAATAACAGCTATAATAATAGATAAATAATAAATCAAGTAAATGAATAAATATTCCTACTGCATAAATGCTTGACTCATTAAGCATAATTTGAACGAACGTAGCTCTATCGCGAACTGTTCCAAGCTAATCTGGACTTATCCACGCTCGTGGGCCCAAACAAAATCAATAGTGATTACCAGCTGAGATGGCCTAAATTAGACCCTAATGATGTTCTGAAGCGGTTTTTTAAACAAAAAAGACCCCAATTCAGAGCTAACTCAGAGAAAGTTAGAGAACGTATTTGTTTTGGAATTTGGAACATTTAGTAATAATATTATTTAAGTTAGTCCTTTTATGTGTCGTTTAGTACTCGTAATTCATCACGCAAATGAGGGGTTAAGCAAGTACTAAAACGTCTTTGTCTTTTCAAGTACTGCATTATGTAGAGCAAGTGGATTGCAAACCCTATGAAAACACTAAAATTATTCATCTCGGGTACGTATCTTCAAACCAAGTTTGTTTTATACCTTCATAGATCGGCTCTCTTCACTGAGATGACGCCATGATTAATAAATGTCAACAGGAGGGAAGAGTATAAGAATTTGAGGATACTTGGCTCTACGAACTTGTGCGAAGTCGTCAGTGGTCCGGCGCACGATTACTTAGAGCGTATACAATGAAAAAGCTCTCTGTTGAGCAATCTCGAGAGTGGTTGGTTCCTTGGTTAACGGCTTTCTCGTTTCCCTAACGAGAAAGAGCGATTTTTTAAGGGGTTTTGACACGAGGATTAATTGCTGTTTTATGGGTAAAGGCTGTACCTTTACCCATAAACAAAATATTTCTTCTGATCAGCGTTATGAGGATATGAAACAAAGCAGTTCACCAAGGAGCACTAACCATAACATTTTTTGGTGAACTTTTTCAAGTCCATCCTTTTAATCTGTTGCAACAGACGACGAGAAACAGTTTCAATGCAAAATACACTAAACCTAGTCTTAACTGAATGACAAAAATGGACCGCCATTTTTGGAATTCAGTTGATGCGACAAAAAATTTGCTTTTTAAAAAGATAGCAAATAGCATGACAAAGTGTCTTTTATAAAATAAGTAAGATAGCA